AATGTTGGGCTAGGATGATCTGGTTTAGAAAAACTAATGTAGGATGATAAATTCTCAAGGCTGCCTGGAATACTTTTAACATCTCTGTCTGGAGAGCTCCTACTCATCCTTCAAGGCCCAGGTGAAATGTCATCTCAGACCCTCCCAAACAAAAATGATCTCCTTCCATCTGTGCTGTCACCACACTTTACACACAGCTCTGCTACAGCCTGCGGCCAATATGGCACTGTCGGTTTTGGAATCTGGGATGCCTGGGGTTTTGAATTCTTTAAGAGCAGCAACTTTGGGTGTGACTATCATGGTATTGCACAATGCCTGGCCTAGAGTGGCCAAAAATATGAAATAAATGAATGAATGCATAAGTGAATAAATAAAGCCCTGAACTCATCAAGTTTATTTACTTAACTGTCTGTAGCCAGGCAGGGGTAAGGTGAGGGGGATGGAGAGAAAGGCCTCAGTGGTCTCCAGAGAGGCACTGTGGCTGTCCAGGTACATTAGTCTTGGGCCCACCAGCCGAGATTGGGCAATGGTGGGGGGGAACTTAGCCACTGAGGCAGGTGCTGCCTCCAGGCTGTCGGCTTTTGGTCCCCTGCCCTGCTGAGTGTGGTGGTGGGGGGACGTGGGCAAGGGTTGAGGCTTGAGCACAGGAGCCACAGCCTAAGTATCGGAACATTCTTCCTAAGCCTAACTTGACTGGAAGACTAAGACCAACTCCCAGTGCCCTGGGGGCTGGGATGTCTGCAAGGGGAGCTGGGACATGTTAGCATCTGGGCCTGGGGGAAGGGACTGGGTCTGGGTTCTCCAGCCCAAACCACCGCCCTGGGACGAATTGGCTTGCCTTCCTTCCGCTGCCGTAGGAAGTCTTGGCTAATTTGCCGGAACGCTCTAGTTAAATGCCAATTAGGACGTTCTGTCCACTGCTCTCTTCCAATATATTAATAATGTAATTAAGCATTTATTGCCTGCACAAATTAAAAATTAACTTAAATGGACAGCCTGGAAAACTGAGGAAGTGACCGCTTAAACAACCAATTTGCATCTCATTCGAATATCAACACCTAAACACAGCCCCTTCTAGGGTGCGGGATTTGGATGTGGCCTTCCAGCGAGGGGCCCAGCAGCTGTTGGCAGCTGGCTTCTCCTTCACGCCTAATTCTGCCCACCCTGCCCCTAATCCTAGGTGTGGAGGACATGGCCTCACCCCTGCCCCTCACCCAATGGGCAGGAAAGCTTTGCTAAGCAGCCACCTTGGCTTCTGTCCTCCCTACCTCCTTTCTCAGGGGTCCATCATGTGGATTTCAGTGAAAGGAGATGCTACTGGGGGTGGCAGGGAGAGGGCAGTCCTTGAAGCCCCTGCCACTCCCACCCCAGGATCGATTTGTCCTGCATTCCAGCCCAGGAGATGGGAAGCAGATGGGTCTGGTGAGCGGAGGGGAGGTAACCAAGGAACAAGGAGACCTTCCCTCCAACAAGCCCCCTGGAGAGAAATGGGGTGGGGGCTGGGTCTCAGGGAGAGCGTGCAGGGGATGGGGCCGGGAAGAATCTTCCAAACAGAAGATGAAAGGATAAAGCTGCCATCTCTTCTCCCTCCCCAGGGATCTGTCTAACACAGCAGGTGTGACACTGCTGGTTTTCTTCTCCAAACAGCCACAGGAGGGGACTTGGCAGGAAGGAGCAGGACAGCAGGGAGTGGGGCAACAAAGGGAACTGGAGAACTCAGCAGCTCTGGGGCAGGAGGCGCCTGAACCCCCCAGAAGGGCTCCAGCCCACCCGGGCTCTCCCTCTTTGCCGGGTCCAGCACCAGCCCTCCCAGGCCTCCCTTCCATGGGGGCTACCTCCTGTGTCTGCAGGTGCCAGCCCCTGCCTTCCGATGTCCACGGTCCTCCCACTGTGAGGAAGGTGGTTCCATGGCAGCCGGGAGCATTCTCCAATGGGGCCCCTGTGAGGTGTCGGGGTGGGGCTGTCCCCTCACTCTCCTTGCACGCCCCTCCAGCTGCACCCCATCCCCACCCCCACTGCCATGGAGAAAGGCCGCGGCAGGGAGATGAGAGGAGTAATGTGAGGCAAACAGGCTTGTTTTCAACACTTTATTTATAAAAAAGTACATTTTTTTTCCTCAGTACATTTTTCAACCCATCATTTTTTTTAATACAAGTAAAAGGGGGTGATGCAAACACCCCCCGGGTCAGAACCAGGAGAATCTGCTGGGCCATCCCCAGGACCAAAGGCGAAAAGGGTGACGAAGAAACTGAAGCAAAGGTCGCGTGTATCACACTCAGGGTGAGGATGGCAGCTTCTCCTGGGTTGTTTCCGTTTATACAAAAAGAGAAAACCAATGTTTTCGGCCAAGAGTCCCATTCCTCACAGCAGGGGTCAGAAGAGCAGCAGCACCAGGTGGGCAGGGCGCCCCCCACCTTGCAGGCAGCGCTGCGGTGGCAGCGGCAGGTCCCGGGAGCCCTCACTGCCTGGGCCGCAGTGGGGGGCCTGCTCCCAGCATCCCTGGCACTGGGCGTTGGTGAGGCCTCCCTGTGGGTGTGGGGGTTTGGGGGAGACCCACTGGCCCCTCACTGGGAGAGGGTGTCTGTTGGCAGTCAGGCTCTGGAGGTCTCTGTCTAGACCCTCGAGGCCTGGGAGCACTGCCCTCCTCCCAGGAGAGGGGACCCCTGTGTCTGCCTGGCTCAGCCCAGCGGCCGGCACCCACCTAACACAATTCCCGAGTCCTCTGCTTTGAGGATGGCAGAAAGGTTATTGCACCAGTGACTTGGGCACATGGGGGTGGCTGGCAGAGGGGCCATATGCCCAAGATACAGGCCCCTGTGAGGCTCTTAGCGTCTGAGCACTGGGAAATCAGTTTCTCTCCAGCAGAAAGCCCGAGAAGCCCAGTCCTCTGCCACGTGTGTGCTGAGTGCCCCTCTGGCCGTGCACACTCCCGTGCTCGGGTCTGCCTGCCGGAGCTGTGCGAGCCCACTGTGTGCTCATGCGCTGGGCCTGAGGCGGCTGCACTTGCAGGCCTGTGTTCACCTACTCTGTGCTGCCGCTTTTCAGGTCCTTCTGATAAAAGGGGACTCAGATGGTCCTGTTACACATTAGAACAATATCAAAATCTGTAAGGAAATGGGGTGTAGAGTGGGGGGCAAGGACAGGGAGGGCAACAAGAGGCAGAGTGACAACTGGGCAGGCCTTGGCACAACTCATACCAAGTTTGTTTCATTTTCAGCAAAGCGGAAGCTCAGCTCATGCTGGGGCATCGAGGGAAGCAAAACGTCCTCATCTCCCTGCCGGGCCAGCCCTCCCTTGCCGGCTGGCTGTGTCTGTGGGCCCAGCAGCAGTGCCCCCCTTCCCAGACGTGGGGCACAGAAAATCCCCCTCCCTAGGCCCAAGTGCCGACCCTGCCTCATGCCCACGCTTGGCCCAGAGCAGCCCGTGGGTATGCTGTGGCTGGGCTCCCGGCAGGGCAGGAGTCCCCTACATGGCCCATTCTACATGGACCCCATAATTTGTGCTTTGCTTGTGGGGAGGGTGTGGAGGTGTCTTAAGGGAGACTCAGTGCTTTGGCTGGGCCCAGGGCCTTCAAAGTCCATCACAGAATGAGGAACAGGGGGTGGCAGTGCAGGATAAGAGAGACACAGGACGAGGAGCAGGGGACGGACAGGGAACGCCTCCATCAGGCAGGCCCCTGGGATTGCCTCCTGCCTGGAGGGCAAAGGGACCAAGCAGAGGGGCCAGAGTGGTGTGAGGTGGGATGGGGCAGTGATGTAACATGGACAAGGTCCCCTGCCCTGGGGCGGGTGGACACTAATACTGCTGGGAGAAGCAGCCCAGCTCCTCCAACCTCCCTCTACCCAGTGGCTAGAAACACCCCAGAATTTTCTCCCCTAACTCCACCCCATGCAGTATCTCCAATGCCTAGAGGGGAGAGCCGCCCCAGGGCTGGCATGGCTTCAGACTTCTGCTACGTGGCTACTGGGAGGCCTGGGCTAGGGCCAGGGCAGTGAGGCCAGGCGAGGGAGGCCCAGCTGGTGGGCCCAGGGTTGCCAGGGCAGAGATGGAGCTGGCTGGGGGTTCAATAGCAGCACCAGGGAGGGGAGGTGGGGAGCTGGGTGGCTCCCTGAAGAAGCCTATGGCAGGGTAGGACAGTGCCCGTGGGGCACAGAGAGGTCTGCCTCCCCCCCCAACACTTGCCATCCTACAGAGCCCCTGACACCTTGGGCCAGGTTAGCTGGGATGTTATCGGGCAGGCACGAGGCCCTTGGGGACTGCCTCTCCCACCCCAGGGGCTTTCCCATGGGCATGTCTGTCTCTAGAGTGCCGGGGTCTCTAGGGAGCAGATGGAGGAACTGAGGCACTTTGAGCTGGGAGGGGTCTTCCTCCATTATACATAGGAAGACCCAGTCTTGGGTAGCTGATAGGAACCCAGTGTCCCATTCAAGGAGGGAATCTCCACAAAAGGGAGGGCTTCTCCCAGGTCCCGCTGTCATCCCAGAACGGGGCCCAGGGGCAGCTGGGCAGGGATGGAGAGTGGAGGAGGCCACCCCAGCCTCCTGTCAGGCCTGAGGCTTCTACAGTGGCCCTCACGGTGGTGATCGGGACTCCTCCGTCCATCAGGCTGTGTTTGCAGAGCTCCCCCGCCAACCCCCGCCAAGGGCTTCTGTCTCCATCACCCTGCACGTAGGTACTTCTTCACCTCTCCCTCCTGCAGGTGACTCCCAGCCCTGCCTATCTCAGAGAGTCAAGCGTGGCCAGCACTTGGCAGATAAGGGAGAAATCAGAAACTTCTGTGCTGTAAGACACAGTTTGGGTCTGGCCCGAGATCCTATGGTGGAGGCACCGGGGGGCCTAGTCTTAGCTATCTCTGGAAGCTTCTACAGGCAGCCCCCATCCTCAGCTGGAAAGAGGGGAGAGGCAGAGAAGAGAAGGGTGGGCTGTGGGCAGCGTCCACACTGGGTGGGGCACGCGGCCCAGGGAGAGCAGGGGTGGAGGGGAGGGTGTGTGTGCAGGTGTGCATGTGTGTGTGCATGTGTGTGTGTGTGTGTGTGTGTGTTGGCGGAGGCGTATGGGAAGCGGGGGCCAGAGTCCACCTGGAGCCCCACCGTGTGGGGAGCAGACAGGGTTAGGAGGGACATGTTAGAGCTGGGCCAACTCTACCCTCTGTAGGCCAATGAGGAAAAAAAATGTAAAATCAACCTCACCAGGAAAACCCTGCCCAAGGCCCCACTTAACAAAGACTCCTCTGGGTGCTTGGGAGAAGCCACACCCCTGCCCCTGCCTCTGGGGTGCGCCGGCTGTCTAGATTGGGGGCCCAAACTCCCAGCTGTGTCAGCTCTCATGGGGGGTGTCGGGTTCCCTCTTCCTTTCAGGGGAGGAGGAGCAGCATCTGGGGGTGGGAGGGCTTTTCCTTGTGGAGCCCCTTGAGCCCTCCACCCTCAATGAAGAGAACATAAACAAATTCCAGTGTCAGGGGCTGGGGGAGGCTGGCTCCCCAAACCCTGGAGGGACGCCCAGGTACACAAGACGAGAACAGGGCTCCCTACACAGAGGGCAGGCGGGTGGGGTGGGTAAAGGGAAGATACAGCAACACTAAAGCCACAGTCGAACACAACACCATGGGGAAGGGCCAGGGAGAGGGAGGAAATAAAAAACAAAGCTGAGTCATGTCTGCCCTGGGCTCCCCTGGCCCCGGGAGTAGGGGGCTGGCTTTGGGCAGCTGGGTGAGTCTCTGCTGAGCTCCTGGAGGAGGGGGCGGGCAGGGGGGCGTGCGGGCAGGGGCTGGGGAGAAGTGGGCACAGACGGAGGCTCTGGAAGGGGGCTACACGTACCACTCCTTCTTGGAAATGAAAGACCCGTCGTTCTGAGAAACCATGTTCTCAGCCAAGTCCAGCTGCTCGGGGTCGTACTGGTATCCCAGAGTCCGGTCCCCGTAGCCATCCTGACGGGCCTCTGCCTCATCCACGGTGAAGTACGGCCGCTTGGCGTCCTCGTCGTACTTGGGGTGGGGGATGCCCACCTTGCGCTCGCCCCCTCCGCCGCCCTCCTCCTCTTCCTCCTCCTCGTAGCTGCTCCCACCCAGCGGGCCGGCCTTCTTCTCATCGTCCGAGTCATCAGGGTACTGCAGGTTCTGCGCCATGGGTGGGTGGTGCTGGGGGATGCCCGCCTTGCTGTAGCCGTTGCCGTACACGTGCTTCTTGGTGCTGTAGTCACCCTTGAAGGTGTGCCGGCGCCGGCGCAGGGCCACCACGATCCCGCCGACCACAATCAGCACCAGCAGGATGCTCCCCGCCACGCCCCCAATGATGGCCGTGGGCACCGGCCCAGCGCGCCGCCCATGTTCAGGAGGAGACGGGGTGTAGGGGAACTCTGGGTGAGGAAAAGAGATGGAGGGGACAGTGTCAGCGTGTGCTCCTGGGGTGTTTACAGGGGTGGGAGGGACGGGGGAGGCTGGGGAGGGAGAGGCCGGGAAGGACAGGCTGTCTGCACCCCAGGTTTGAGCAGTTCCAGTTTCCAGTTCCAAAGGCCCCTCGGCACCCCACCCCTCCTGGAGCCCAACTGTGCCGCAGCGTTGGTAGCGGCAGCAGGACAAGCGAGAGGAGAGAGGCAGAAGACTGTCCCCACAGCACCAGGGCCTTCCATCCTGACCGTCCTTGGGCGTGGTGCAGAGAGGCCACACGAGCCAGCTCCACGCTCCGCGCAGCACCCAACACACACCACTTGCTGTCACAGCCCTGTGAAGCAGGTGTGCTGTTGATTTCCACTTAATACATGCAACATTGATTCTCTTGTATGTAAAGCCTTTGACAACGTCACCGGTGCCCCTCTGCCCAGCATCTGGTAGTCATTGTGCCCCAACACCATCAGCTTGGCTTCCAAGACCCAGAGCCCGGAACAGGCTGGGTGTTCTGTGCTGAATTGTGTCTGCCCCCAGAGCACAGGGAAAACGGGTGCCCAGGTCCTGGCCCAGTAGATGTGCCATGAGTGCCAGTCAGCTGCCAAGGTACCAGAAACCAGGGCTGTGGTTCCTGGCTGTGGTCTGGCCCTGCGGGGCAAGGTGGGGGCCCGAGGTGCAGCCAACCTGAGCTATAAGCGTAAGACAGCCAGCGTGGCAGGGCGCAGGCACAGAGCAGGGGTGGGCAGAAAGGGGGAGTGGAAGTGAGCGTGTCTGTAGCGAAGACGAGTGCACACAAAGAGCACGTGCACAGGTATACGCCCTTATCATCGTGGTGAGCCCGCGACTCAGAGAGCACATACCCGGGGAGGGCCCACACTCTGTGCTGACGTGATGGGTTCGTGTACACATCTGTGCACTTTGAGGATACAGCGGAAATGAGATGGCAGGAGAGGCAAACAGAAGAGAAAGGAAGCTGGTGGGACGGAAGAGAAGGCTGGGCGGTGGCATTCTGTGCCAGCGGGGCCAGGCCACAGTACTCTTCTGCTGTGGGCACCGCTGCGCCATCCCTTTCCCTACAGGGCCTGGGAGGGTAGGCGAAGCCAGGGCCACCCCAGAGGCCAAAGAAGTCCCAAGGTGAGACCAAAGGAGGCGGTTCCCAGCACCACCACAGGGTGGCACCGAAGACCGCGGCTGGCCTGGGTCAGGAGGCGCTGGGCTGCGGGTCCAGGGCAAGCCGACCTCCAGGCTCGGCCCATGTCTTCAGGCCCAGGTCCGGCTGGGCGTGTGTTGTGGCCTCTGGGAGTCCGCTGCTGCCAGCCCACGCCCTGATTCAGTATCACTCCCTCCGGGGGAATCATGCTTCTCCTCCCTGCCCGCCCCTCCCCCGGTGTGAGCGCGGGTGCTGTCCCACCAGTGGCAGGCTGGAGCAGGGTGGGGATTCTAGGAAAGAGGAAAGGCCTTCCTGGACTTCAGGCTGGAAGGGCTGGTGGAAACACTGGGGCCCAGAGGAGGGGAGGCCCTTTGCCCAAGGTCACATGGCTGGGCTGGGGCCGCGCAGATGCTCCTGCGCCCGGCCTCTCCCACGCAGGCGCTGGCAGAGAGAAGCACAGCCACCGAGGACCCAGCGCCCCACTTGTCCCCACTGTGTCCTCAATGCAGGTCACTGAGTAGCTGCCCAATAAATATTTACTAAATATTTGTCCTCACTGCCTATCTCCAGAGCAGTCTCCCTGGAACCTCAAGCTTCTCCTGGTTCACCAGGTCCCATCTGTTTACTGCCCTTAAAAGGGCCCTACACCTGCTCCACATGAGGTGGGAGCCACGCCAGAAGGGGTGCCCCAGCGGGGAGGGACCTAGCCTCCTCTGTGCCTTCAGCCTGCCTGCTGCCGCTTCAGTCCTCACCCAGATCTGAATGATACTCCGCTCTACACCTGCCTGCATCGCCTCATCCACCCATCCAATCAGCAAGCATGTACTGAGCATCTATCTTGCTAGTCGCAGGATGCAAGAAACTCACAGCTTTGCCTGGGAACCAAATGACACCCTCAGAGACAGCAGCACACAGTTATCCAGGAACTGGCAGCAAAGTGCTCGGGAATGCAGGGGACGGGAGCGCTGTGGCCTGGTGTTAGTTAGAGAAGGCTGCTTGGGGGAGGCTGGGTTTGGGGAGGCAGAGAGAGTAGGGAAGGCGTCCAGGTGGAGGGGACTGCCTTTCTTCTGGAAGTATCTCCCTTGCTTCCAATACAAGGATTCCTCGGTTCTTGCCTTTTCTCACGGAGTGCTGTCTCTGGCTGTGTTGCTGGTCTCATGGGAGGCCCTGACCTTGGACATTCAGCCTTCACTGTCTGCTTTCTTTCCTAGTGTCAGGCTGGCCTCAGTTTCAGGAGTTACCCTCACCCTGCTGGCTCTTCAAACCATTTCAGGCACACAGCTCTCAACTCTGGGGCTTTATCGCGACAGCATTTATCATTCTGTGGCCCATGGAACCTCAAACCAGAAGAAGGCCAGCAAAAATACGAGGGTCAAACACTTTGGGAAATGTTGGCTCAAAGCCTCAGAGCCCTTCACCTTCTCATGTGAACACGGACATGTAGGATGCGGCATTTCCCAATGGACTGGAGCATGAACCCCACTCCTCCTGCCCCCAGAACCCTCTCACAGAACTAATATTTAGGGGTATACATCTGAAAACCTGTCCTGTAGCACATCCTCACTTGGCGTCCTCACCATAACCTCAAAACCTGTCTGTTCCAACTCTGTTTGCCACCTTCCTTCCCAACCGTCTCCAGTCAACACATCTCCCCGATTCCTCCACCGCCACCGCCATCTGTCCACCCTTCCAGCTCAGAATCTCATTCATCTTTGATTCTTCCTTCTTCATCTCTGGGGCCAAGTCTGCTGTCAAATCTTGTTGACTCTTCCCATTCAACATCTTATCACCTTATACCAGGTGTCTGTTGTAGTAGATTCTGGACTCTCCCACCTTCGTTTGGCCTCTGCCCCACTTCACTCACCCCATCCACAGTCACCCAGTTAATTTTCACTGTGTGGCCATGACCTTCCTCCAAGACCATCTGTGACTCCCCTACTAGCTGCTGGGTCCTGCAGTCTGGCCTTCAAGGCTCCCATCATGCCACTTTATCCTGGGCTCGGCCAGTTTGCCTTCCTTGCTGCCCTTGCCTTCCTGCAAGCTCAGGCTGTTCATCCCGCCAGGAGTGCCTTCCCAAGCCCCTCCTGCCTACTGCAGGTCTTCAGTCCCTTCTCCAGGCAGCCTTCTCTTCTCTGACTCACACTGATCTTTTTCTCTTTAAAATTTCTATGGACAAATGGTCTGCACCTCTCATTCTGGTTTCAACAATTGCTAATGCCATTCCATTAATCATATACTGACGTACCATAGTAAAGCCCGTACAAATTGCAAATAAATGCAAATTAGGATTTACCATGGTTGACTCTGGTCCTTCTGCCAGTTTTCAAACGGCTAAAGTTCTTTCGTTGTGCAGGAATAAGGACAGGGGTTCAGGAAGCAGCAGCCTCATGCTAATTTGGGATTGCCTCATTTCAGTACGTTGTAGCTGTCTATGATATAAGTTCCACTGTCCTTACTTTTGTGCTTTCTTCAACAGCAGAGATCCAATGAAAAACAAAGCTCTCCTATATGTTCCTCAACTAGGTAGCGTTTTTTGGACCCCACTAATCACAGCATGGTAGTGTTTACTGTGTTATCAGCTTCACAAGAACGGCTGGTATCCCAAACCAGTTTGTAAACTATAATTCGAAATGCATCTAGAGCCAGACCACTTCTCATCGTCTCCATCACTGCCACCCTGATCCAAGACACACCAGCATCTCTCATCTAGATTTACTGCAACAGCCGCCTATAACTGCTTTCCTGAGTCCACCCTTTCTCTCTATGGACTGTTTTCAACCCAGCGCCAGACACATCCAGTTGAAGTGTAAATCCCACCACGTCCCTTCTTGCTCAGAGCCCTCCAAGGGCTGTCCCTAGAGGCTGACATGCTCTGAGAGACCTTTGCCCACCCGCCTCTGACGCCATCGCTCTCTGCTTTCCTGCAGGCCGGTTCCGTGCCCACCCTGGAAGGCTCTTCCCCGGGGGTCCTGCAGTTCACTCCTTCACCTCCTCTGGGGCCTGGCTCAGACATCACGTTCTCACAGAGTCCCTCTCTCACTGCCCTACTTAAAACTGCAGCTCAGAAGAAAAATAAATACATAAAAATAAACAAAACAAAACAAAAAATCCCACTGCGGCTCAGAAGCACCTCCAGTCCCCAGCACTGAAGATTTCTCTATCCTGCTCTTCTCTCCATTTCATCTTCAAATTTACTGCACAATTTTTAAAATGTATTTTATCTGTTGTCTGTCCTCCTGTGCTAAAACGTAAGCTCCACAGGACAGGGACTTGTCTGTTTTGCTCTTGGATGTACTCTAAGTACCTAGATTGCCTGGAATGTGGCCTGAGTTCAAACAGTAGTTGTTGAATGAAAGAATGAATCTATAACGGCAAGGCTACATGTTAGAGGTGAGCCTTGCTCTGGGCGGAGCAAGTATTCAGGGATATCGGGGCACACAGGGGACCCTGTTTCCCTGGCATTGGGGGTAGGAAGAGTGGAGCGGTGGTTTGGAGCCAGGTTATACCGGATTTCTTTTCCTTCCAGGCACTCCGTTTAACTTTGTTTTCTAAATCCTAAAGGGGTTTACTTTTCCTGGGGATCTTTTGCGACCAAAGGGAAACCTGGTTATTTTGGCTACCCCAGGGCCCAGGCCTGTGCAGCGGCAGGAGAATGGCTTTGGTGGCCACGCAGCACAGCAGACCTCAGAGCGAGGATGCCTGGCAAGGGGGCAAGAGAGAGGAGGAGGTGTGGGGACCTAACTCATTTGTGAGGAGAGGGGGTTGTCTGGTGAGGAGTGGAGCCTGCCCCTCCCCCTCCGTCCCTCCAGCTGTCACATTCAGCCAGCCGCTCCTGTCTCCGTGCCAGGCACAGAGCCTCCAGGGCCGCAGCTGGGAGGAGAGAGAAGAGCCGGGCAGTGGGGTCATTTGCGCTTACTGGCGGGGGCCCAGCCGGCCTCCCCCACCTCCTCTTAGAGAAGGGGCAGCTTGGCCCCAGTCCTGAAGGGTTGCAGCCTTCCTCTGGCATCCCAGGCTGGCCAGGACAGTGGGACAGTGAGGACTCTGCCTTCCTTTGGGACCCTGCTTCCCTGACTGAGGTGGGGGGGCCTGGCGCAGGGGGCTTCAGAGGGGTCTGAGGTGGAGTGAAGGGTTAGGGTTTGCAGCCTGGATCTAGGATCTGGAGGTTTGGGGTCAAAGAGAATGTTTGGGCTTGTTTCCAAAACCAATGCCTGGCGCTTCCTTGGGCAGGAAATGTTCCGGCACCAGATGAGGCCGAGAAGCTGCAAGAACTACACTTCCCAGCATGCAGTGCGGCGGCCGCAGGGAGAGTGGGAAGGCCTGAGGTCAAACTCTGGGAAGCCCTTCTGTCCTCCTGCAGCTGCAGCAGCTGTGCATCGCGTCAGACCATAAGGCAGGGCCTCCTCAAGCTGGAGGAGAACCGAATCCTCCCAGAGGCACGGACGCAGCTGCCTTCTCAGACCTCCCGACACACTGCCATTTGCTGGCTTGGAGAAAAGCACGTTTGCCCACAGCACAGCCACGCTCCCATTTGCACACTCAGCATGCAGACAGTTGCCTGCCTGCTCACACTGGCTCACGTTTACATGCGTGCAGAGGCACATGCCCGTACTCAGGCCCGGGCACGCACTCTCACAGGCTCACACCCCCCTCCCTTCCAGATGGACACTGACCTTCAGGGCCTGCTGCCCTCGGTCTAAGAACTTCAGGCTTGATGGGCAGACTGCTACCTTCACCCGCAAGGGATAAGCCCGGGCTTCACTGCAAATGGGCACTGGGACAGACATCCTGTGCCCTAGTGGCCTCCCTGCCCTGCTCTTGGGAGTGGCAAGAGGCTGGGTCCTGATCAGAGAGGCCTGGCTACTCTCCTCCTGACACCCCCAAGGGAAGATGCTGCCTCATTTGGTCTCTTTAGTCTGGTCAAGGCCACGCCCCGGGCCCCATCCCCACCCCTTAGTGTTATACCCAGAGGAGAAGGGAGGGGAGCTCCACTGGCGTGTTTTGTGACTACCAGGCCAACCTCGTGCAATTGTTCCTCAGTGTAAGGACCTCTGAAATGAGCTTCTGTGAGGGCCCCAGGCCCACGGAAATACATACACCAATTCTGTTTGGGTCATCTCCTCGGTTCTCCTATCCCCACAGCCATAGCATAGGCCTGCTGCTATCTGCTGGGGAATCACTCACAGTGACAGCTGCTAACTGGTGCCCCGGTGCCATCCATGCAGCCTCCCGGATGCTCAGGCTACCCCACACGCCTCACCGTGCCGCTTCCCTACTGACAGCCCTTCAGAGCTCCCCGCAGCCAGCAGAGAGAAGGCCTCGCTCCTTCCACTCCAGCATCTTCCCTCCCTGTGCCTCCCCTGCCTGGGCACCACACCCTCCACCGCTGCGCACTCACGCCTCTTGCAGCAACCACTCAGAGCCCCCTCCTCTGTGATCTGGGGCCCCGAGAAGCCTGTGCCAAAGTGTGTGCACAGATGTGCAATGGCTCGGCACGTGCATGCCCTGCACACACGTGTGTCTCTGGCACACCCTCTGCTGCCCACCTTCTGCCCTGCCCTAGCTGCTCCTCATTTCCCTCTCCAGATGAGCCCAGGGCAAAGCTATTACCCGAACGAGTGGCCAGAATGAAAAATTAAATTTCCACTTATCCTTCTCGCTCATGCATTCCCTCCGGACCAGCAGGGCTTGGAGCACAGGGCACGGCTGTGCCCCTCGGGGTGGGTCCCCTAGAGAATGTGGTGGGCACTGGCTGATGTGGGATGAAGAGCGGTGAGGTCGGCTGCTGCTCGGAAATTGCGTGAGAGCACAAGAACAAACAGCCCTGAAAAGGCTCAGGTCACCTGAGGGGGCTGAGACCCTTCCCAGGGAGGGACAGGCTGACAGCTCCTGGGCTTCTCAATGATGCACTGAGTGTCATGCTTCCCTGGCTCCTGCCTAACTGGGCTGTCAGCAAGAGGCATGTTGTGTCCCTCTTCCAGCTGGAACCCTGGGTGGCCAGGCTCACCCACCCTCTATCTAGTCCACCATCGGGGAAGGTATCACCATGAGAGCCTGAGATAAGTATGGTTACCTCCGTATCAGAGATTAGGAAGCTGAGGCTCAGAGAGGTGAGAACTTACTCAAGGCCACACAGCTAAGAAGAGCCAGTATGTGAACACACTCAGGCCAAGTCTGTCCCTCATATGACACTCCTTCCCTGAGGGGTGGTCCAGTTCCTCATGACAACCCTCCCTTCCCACCTCCCCCTCGTCTGCCCCCATCGCCCTGGGGCTGGGGCTCCGGCAACCAAAGGCTCTCAGTGAGCTTTGCTCAGACTTTCTCCAGGTGGGGAGATACCTGTGGCTCTGGCCCTCCCTTCCACCTGCCAACCTATGGGAGCCCCCAACCCTGGCCTGAGGGAGGGGCTGCCTGCCTCAGTTTCCCCCAGGTTCCTACTCCTGTAACCAGTCTTAGAAACACCCGTTGGAGAAAACAGTGAGTGACTCTGCCTACTTGCCCCCATATGGGAGAGGAGACAGAACAGCCCTGACGACAGGTAGGTAGCCCCCGGACTGCTTCAGGCTGCTCCTTCTGCAGCTGCGCCTTGAATGTGCACACAAGTGAGGTCTCCCACGCCTGAGACACTGGCTCAGGGCTAGTGAATCCTCAGGGCTGGCCCAAGCTCTGTGGCGGGAGCCTAGTAACTACTGCCCAGTTTTCTATATCCCTGAAGTCACCTCCTGTGCACGTCACTTCCCGTCCATCTCGGCAGCAGCGTGACACAGCTGTGTTCTCTTCTAGCCACTTCCTCTTCTAGCTCAGGTACAATGCTAAAGACACTTCCTCGTGTCAACTTGTGATGACAATTTACCCCTCTATTGACTTGTTTTGATGCTCCCATTAATAATGATGATAATGATGGAGGTCAGGATAATAATCACAGAGCACTGGCCACTTATTGATGGACTGACCTGTGCTAGGTACTTGCCCTACATTATGTGTAATTCTGACAACAACCCCTCAAGGCAGGCCATAGGATCCCATTTTACAGATGGGGGCTTGTCCAGGGTCGCAGCTGTCTGACATCCAGCCCATGTGAAGTCTCTCCCCGGAACATTCTAGCCCTGTTCCCCCTTTGCCCTGAGATGTGAGGTGGCTGAGCCCCCTCAGCTGAGTTGACGGAGAGAAAGATGCAGAGAAAACAGCAATTCAGTTTCAGGGCACACACACCATCGTGGCTTTGGGTTATCTCCCTGCTTTCTCGCCAGTCTTCTTGCTTGAGCAAAGTCAAATCATGCAGGTTTCCTTATGTGCAGGCACGCAGCTTAGAGGAGACAGGCTCTACCTGCAAACCCATCCCCACCAAGCCAGCATCCCATGGAGCGTTCTATTGGCAAACGCAAGAGCAGGCTCTGTTCCCCAAAAGAGCATTGCTGTAGACAGCACTTCCCTCTTGCCTCCTGGAGCCCCCCTCCTGTCCCTGTCTGATTGGGGGTCACCCTGACTATCTCCCATACGGCCTTAAATGAAGGAGAAAGAAAAGCAAAGCAAGACCAATGGCCAAAGCTCAAGGGGGAACCAGAGAAGCAGGAAAGGAAGACACACTTCCTGCAGTGACACAACCCAGAGGTGGGGGACGTAGGGAGTGGAGGAACCCACGGGTGGGGACAGGCAGGGGAGGGTGTGGCTTCCTACCTGTGATATTGACCTCCACCTGTCCCGAGCGGGTGCCAATGGGGTTGGTGGCCTCACAGATGTAGGTGCCTGCCAGGCTATAGTTGATGGGTCCCTTGAAGAAGAGGGTTCTGTTCTGGGCCTCCACACCCTTGGGGAGAGAGCCATTCAGCCTACAGGGAGTGGGAGACAGCATAGGGTTATGACTTCCCAGCCCCAAGAAGCTGTTCCTGTGTCACCCACTTGGCTCCAAGCCCACCAGCCCTTTTGCTGAGTTCAAGTGATGGGCTCTGTCTTGGAAGTAGGAAAAATAATAATAATAATCTCTTGTATTTGACAGTTTTATATTATTCAGCTTTTCATATCTGATCTTCATAACACTGAAATATAGGCAGGACAGGTAGGTACTGGTCCCACTTAACAGATAAAACCTGAGGTTCGAGGCCAAGAAAACACAGCTAGTCAGCAGCAGTAAGGGAGCTCTTGCCAGCTCTCCGGACTCCTGGTGCAGTGCTCTTTCTGCTTACTAGTCATGGCTCCTGACTGTTGGCCCATGGCCTCCTGGGTAGCTGGTTAACAATACAGATGCCTGGGTTCTAACCCCAGATCCCCCGAAGCAGAAGCTCTGGGGTGAAGGCCTAGGGATCTGTATTTTAACAAGCCACTCAGCAATGAGATGGGAATTGTGTTCCATTTCACTATCCGTGTTCTTGTGCTGGGAATGTCACAGTACTTTTGCATGTGGGGAGCATCCTGGGAGTTTGCTGAGGACAGGGGACCTCCTTCCTTCCTCCTGATCCCAGATGCCGCAAAACTATGACTCTGTTGAACCCGGCAGCTCTTCGGTCCACAGAGCTGAACTGGGCAAGCAGGCTCTGCCCACTTGCACCTTGAGAAGCATTTTTTGTTCCAGGAAGTGGAGAACAAGAGCTCGGCCCTGCCAGTGCCCTCTGCTTCCTAGAAAAAGGGCATAGACTCCCCTGGGCAGCCATTTTCTGGCCACCCATATCAACCTTCTTCTCGGTGCCCCCTGCCCCTGTCTTTCCGTCCATCCAGCTCTTCTCCAGGAAGAGCCTTCGCTCCGGCCAGCAGAGCCGGCTGGGGGAGACAGGGCCCCCTGAGGGCCAGGCCCAAAGGCCATGTGGCTGAGAATGGGGTGACGGGCTGTGGAGCTGTGCTCCTTGAGCACAGGCGTTCTGGGATGACTGCTGCCTCTCCCTGAGAATCCGGGGGTGCTGGAGAGAAGGAACAGGAACAAAGAAAGATCTGGGATGCTCAAGAACACTGGCTTCCCTGGGGACACCTCGATAAAAATAAATACTAGGGGTTGGGGTGGGAGTGACTCAGGCTGAATCACCAAAGAAAAATGACAAAACTCTTTATTAGGGAGAGGAAAGGAAGCAGATCACAGGGGAAGCCCCCTCAGGCAGAATGGTGTGTCCCACTGACTCTGACACTCTCAAACGCTGAGGGGGTGTGTGCGTGTGTGTTCTCTCATGCACCACTTCTCACTGAGAAACCTGAGCCCAGACCCCAATCTTTTCTCCACCTACGGCTCCTGGAGGTGGGGAGGGTGGTCCCCCTGTGGTATCTCCTGCAGTGAGCAGCCAGCCCCGCCAGCCCCACAGCACTCACGTCGTCCAGCGGTACTCAGTGGCCGGGGGGTTAGCATCAGCTTTGCACGTGAGCTTCACATCCATCCGCTGTAGGTACCAGTTGCCATCGAACCCCTCAATGGTCACCTCGGGCTCATCTGTGGGGCAAGGGATGTTCAAAGAGGGTGTGGTCAGGAGAGTAGGACTCGGGGCAAGGGAGCCTCAGACAGGAAGGGATGGAAGGAGCAGCGACACGGAAACAGCTGGAAGGGAGGGAAGCGTGAGAGGGCGGGTAGAAACCACAGAACCCCGGTGCAGAAACAGGAGGGGCACGGGGAAGGAGGAGAGAAAGGAGAGCAGGGGAGGAGGGGAAGGAGATGCAGAGCAGAGGAGTGGCAAGGTTGGGGGAGAGGGCTAGTGGCGCCCACTCCGGGAGGCCCGGCGCCCGCCCCGGCTCACACTGCACGTTGAGGGTGAGGCTCTCCTTGAAGCGGTCCGTGTGGTAGTTGACGATGCAGGCCAGGGACTGCTGGTGGGCCTCCCTGCTGGGCACCAGGCGGTAACGGCTGATGACCGTCACTGTGCCATTGGGGTTCCGGATCTCCTGGTACTCGGCCTCGCCCTTCAGCCGTGTTTCCCAGGACACCACACTGGGAGGCTTCCCGTTGGCCGAGGTGCAGGTGGCCACCAGAACCTTGTCGTCCTGCCCCTTCTTGGCTCGGAGCACTGCCTGGGTGCCCTCTATCCAGTTGGTGGGTTTGGCTGTGGGGAACCAGAGAGAACGATGGGACCAGCTCTGTTGCCTCGTCAAACATGCACTGACCCAGGAGGGTGTGGCACCCACCAGGCCACGTCTTCAGGTCACCTTCGCCACCCCTGCCTCTCAGCTGTGCTTCACCAAAGCTGTTCGCGGAACTTCTTGCAGGAAGTTCTTCCTGTCTAATGCATGTCCTCCCTGCTCTACTAGTCAGATCCTCCTCCATCAGGCTTGGGCCTTTTTGGAGTCTTGGCATGTTCCAGCCAAGCCACTTAAGTGGCTCCTTTCGTTACCACAGTGACTGATGATTTGCCTGCTTCTTGGCCATCCACAAAGTGCCCATGGTGGGGCTCCAACCTGAATACTGACCCTCCACTGTGTCTAGAGTTAAGGTCCCTGCCCCCCATCCCTAGTGAACTGTGGGGCAGCCTGGCCAGAAGGGACTCGGAGCACCATGCCTGAAGCGGTGGGAGCATGCCCACCCAAGGAGGGTGTCTGGGGCCACTGGGGCACACTGAGAATGGCCAAACCCCCAGGTCTGGACAGACAGGGACAGGGGGCTGAGGCCAGCTTACCCATCACGGTGAGATTGAGTTGGCTCTCACGATTGCCCGTGGGGAAGGTGGCAAACTCGCAGATGTAGACACCCTCATCCTCCAGCTCCAGGTGGGAGAGGCGGATGGTGCCGTCGGTGAAGGAGGGCCGCAGGAACTCCACGCGCTCGCGGTAAGGGGCCAGCACGGAGACGCCCATGGCGGGGTTATAGATGGCCACGTTCTGCTTGGTGCCATTGGTGGCCTTCTGCCACGTGACCTGGGTGATCTTCACACTGGGCAGCGGGTTGGCAAAGCTGCAGTGCAGCACCACGTCTGTGCCGATGAAGCCATACATTGAGTCGTTCACCTGGACCACCTGGGCGTGGGCGCCTGGCCGAGGGAGATGGCAGGCAGTGGTCAGTGGCAGGCACAGCTCCCCTGACCCACCCACACAATTCCCTGCGCTCTGGTCTTGTCTTTTATGGCAGTCATTATTCTTTTTATTCTGATTATAAAAATATTAATTACTTGTTATAAAAACACTGGGCAATACTGAAAAGTATTGAGAAGAAAGTGACAACATCCCATGATCCTGCCACTCAGGATAATCTTGAAGGATCCTGAAGGACAATCTTGAAGGCTCTATCTTCTTTCACTTTTTTCTCTCTATCTATGTATATCCACATAACCATCTATTTTTTTACAAGATCAGATATTGTTCCATAAGCTGCTTTTTCACCTAGTGACATATTATCAATATCGCTCTGTGACAGTAAATATGCGTCCACACCCTCATTTTTGATGAGGGTCGAATGCGTTGCTTTCCAAGTGGAGCCCCCACCCAGGAGCCACGAGTGCTTCACCTTGCTGGGCCTCGGTTCCCTCATCTGGTAAATGGGGTGGATAATCCAGTCCTCTCTGCCTCACAGGGTTGCCAGGGGAGCCAAGTGGCATAATGGATGAGAAAGTGCATTAGGAGGCAGGAAGCTCTGGGTGAGCGTGAGGGCCCACAGTGGCCGACATTAGGGCCACCCCTGCCGTCTGCTCCCTTGCAGCTGGGTCCCCGTCCCCTGGGGTGCGCAGGCTCAGCCCCTCCTACCCAGTCAGAAAGAGGGAAGTAGGCGCCGCATAGGTATCTTCACTTGGCATTGGACATCCTTGCCTTTTGTCCACATCTCTCCATCAGCCATGCTTTCCAACCACACCAGCCTGGGCCTGTCCTCAGAACGTGCCATGTTCCCCTGTTTCCGTCCCTCCCTCCTCCCATTTATTCAGCCACGATTTGCTGAGTGACTAGATTGCAGGATCTATTATGAGCATCTGGAGCATGTCAATGAGCAATTCGGTCCCGGCCACCGCGGGCACAGAGCCTATCCATGCCACATTCCAGACTCTTGCTCAGGCAGGTCCCTCAACCTGGATGGCCCTTCCCCTTCCCCACCTGTGGTCAGTCCACCAAGGCCACCTCCTGGGGGAGCTTCCCTGATCCTCCCAGCCAGACCTAACCACCCCAGCGACCTCTAGCACAGCTCTCTCCTCTCTTGGAATGTGGTGGTTTACACATCTGACTCCTCCACCAGACTGTGTACTCCTCCAGGGCAGGGTCTGTGTCTCTTCCACCTCTGACTCCCCAGTGCCCAGCCTGGCATCTGGCACATAGTAGGTGCTGGTAAATATTTGTTGCCAGACAAACTGCGATGGGAGCCAAGAGAAAAGATTTGCAAGAAGGAGGGAGTGATTGGCGGTCTCCCCACAGACTGTTTCCTCCCATCTAGAATGTCTTCTGTTTCAGCTTTCTTACTCCTGAACTTGGCTTGGCTCCCTTCCCTTGGGGCAGCCGTTCCTGTCACCAGGCTCTGCCCTCCAGCTCTCCCGAGCCCTGCCGACTTCCCGCAAGCTGTGTCCTTGCTGTCGTTTGCACTCGTCACATCCTTATATCCTTACTTCACCCAATTTATTGAGCACCATCAATAATATCAATGATGCTGGGCCCCGAACTGGCTCAAGGTGGGGGGGTGGCCTAAATGGCCGTCCCAAGGGGGTCTGGGACCCAAGAGTGGGGATTTGGGGCTTACACTTGCCCCCTCCCACATGATAGAGACGCGGGAGCAGCACAGGTCCGTCTGAGGGCTCCACAGCCCATGGTTGGTCAAATGAGCTGCTCCCCACCCCTCCCCTCGAGAAGGCGCAGGCCAGGTCTCTCTAGGTCACTGAGGTACCCCCGGTGCTTAGCACACAGTAGGTACTCAAGAAATGCTTGCTGAATAAATCTATCTTTGGCCCCACCAAGCCAGGTGCTTGCCACGCCCTGACATGCCCCTCCCCTACAGCCCTTCTAGGCCCATGGGGGCTGTCTCCACCTGCACCCCACTAGCTGTCCCCTCGGCCAGTCTGTGGGGTGCTCCAGAGCTGGTGCTGCCTGGGCAGGGGCACCATGGGATGGCAGGAGTACGAAGGGAGAAGCACCCAGCCGAATCAGCACTGTGGGACCTGGCCAGGCACTTTCCGTTCTGGGGCCTATTTTCCTCCTCTGTAAAGGAGTGGGCTGGACTCCCCGATCTCAATGGTCCCTCCGGCCCTAACTGTCTGATGGCAGCCCAGCCCAGTGGTGGCCCCAACCCAAGAAAAGTCCCGTGGTGAGGTCAGTGGGCCAGACGCCCCGCACTCTCGCTGACTGGCGAGCCTGCACGCAGCTAAGCCCCAGGCTCTCCCCAGCGGGATAACTGGGTGCTCCCTGCCCTTCCCCCAGCCCGTTGAAGGCTGCCCAGAAGCTGAGATAATGCAGGCATAATTGGAGATCTTGCGACACACAAAGCTAGGAACAGGAAAAGCCAGTTGGGAGGGCTTGGGCCACAGGTGGGAGTGGGGGGAGGGGTGTGGGCACCAGAAGCCATCTTGGGATTGGCGCCAGGCACGGTGGGCCTGCAGAGGGACATGGCCCACCAAGCCCTGCAACCTGCTCCTCTCACTCCCCTGCAGGTGTGGGGACAGGCAGGCTGTAGTCCCTGGCGCACAGGCTGATGTTCATCTGCTGCGCCTTCAGCAGTGACCTCATCCTTCAGAGTGTGTCAATGCCAGGAAGCGAGATTGCCGCTAGTGGCCCGGGTGTGGGGTGGGGAGGGTGCTGCAAGGGGCCCAGGCACCGCGGAGGCCCCCTTGCATCTACCAATCCCTCTCCAGGCAGCAAGCACCCCCAACTCCCGGTCTATTTGGGGGTGGAGGTGGCTGTCTTCTCTCCACCGTGGCTCTCCCATCAGCAACCTCTTGGCGGGGACTTAACCTCTATGAGGCTCCGTTTGCAATGAGGTTGCACATCTGCAAAATGGGGATTATAATAGTTAATACCTGTCCTATGGAATTGTCGTAAGGATTAAGTGAGGGACTACACGGGAAACTTAGAAAGCAGCACTTAGCACAAATTAAATGCCCAATAAATGTTAGGTGCCATCATCATCGTCACCACCGCCACCATCATCTTTCATCTGTGAAGCAGTAGCCTCCCTCCCTGGGACTCCATTCAACAAACACTTTTTGAGCACCTACCCCACACTGGGCACTGCACTGGGTGCTACTGGGTCCCTCTTCCAGGATGCCCTTGTGACTCCCAGCCCTTCCTACTCAGCTGACACCGCTCTTCATATCCCAAGAGCATATAGCATTAACCTACACCCCTTTGTTCTCTGTTTCCTGGCAGATGTGTCTAGTCTGTCCCCTGTCTCCCAACATATTGTAAGCCCCTGTAGGAGAGGAAAGGGGCAGGCTTGGCTTTGGGTTAAGTCACCCATGTCACACCAGGGCTTGGTGACCCTGCTGACTCTGGTTCCCCAAGCAGGTAGGGCTGGTCCACAGAATGCACCCTGTCTCCCTCCCTGAAGGTTCCTTCTTGCATGAGAAGCAGAGGCTGGCCCAGATGTGGGAACTGGGACCACTAAAACGGTATCATACTGGAGCTCAATGGACCATGCATTCCATCATTTGCAAAGTCCAGAGGGGTTGGGTCACTTGCCCAGGGACACAAAATAAGCAGCACCCAGCCCAGTGCTCTTCCCACCCTGCCACAAAAACAGATTCTGGCTCAATCTAACTCCCTGGGGCTTCGTTCTGGGTGGTGTCCCTCACAAAGTGCAACCTCAATGCCTCCATCAGCCCTTGCGAGAAATGGCGCAAATACCAGTTACAATACAATGGCCATTGCGCCTGCAGGCTACCCTGCAGTCCAGCAACTGGGTGTCAGCTGATGGGTTAGAAACAGGGACTCTGAGGAGCCCAGGTGGGGAGCATTTGGGAGGCTGCTATGTGCAGAGCAGGAAGAGCCAGAAAGGTGGGGAGAGAAGGAGGGTGGGGCTAGCCATGGGACTTGTGCTCTTAGCGGAGGGGTTCTTGCGCTCTTAGCGGAGGGGTTCTTGCAGCCCAGGGATACCAAAGAATGAGTCCCTGTTTCCTGACCTCAAGCACTGCCTGTATACTCCCTGACCACCCTATGAGCTCCGGGCCCTGGGACCCAGGCCCTGGGGTTTGTGCTCAAGTGCCTCAGTTTCCCCACTAGAGCTCAGGTTGGGCAGTTCAGGCTGCCCAGCTTCCCAGAAGTGCTGAGCCAGCATGGCAGGCATTGGGCCGGCCCCCCGAGACGTCACAGACCTGCAAAAGCCCGAGCTCAGCAACAAAACACAAAGGCTCCTCAGTTGCGGCAGACAAACCTGCTCCCCAAGGCCTGCCTGCCATGGAGCTAATCTGCAGGCCGGTGCCACAGGTTCCCACGCGGCGGGTGTGGCATGCTCTGCTCCCCTTGTACCCACTTTCAGTGGTTTCTCTTCCTGCCCTTTTAAACCCCAGACCCCTCTCGCCCTAGCCAAGCAGGCAGGAACTGGGCCGAGGTGGGTGGGTGAGACAGGGGTGCCTAGGTGAGGCGAGGGTCAGTCGGGGCTTCCTGGCGTGGACCAGCCCTCTCCAGCCCCTCCTTTCCTGAGGCTCTGCCGGGTGCCCTCAGGTGGGCGGGCAGAGGTGGCAGGCCTGGCCTGGAGCAAAGTGGCACCACATTAAAGAGAGGGAGTCTGTGGGCATGCGTGTGTGCATGCATGTGGGCATGCGTGCACACACACGTGCGGGTGGGGGGCACTGGGATCCCCCATAAGGGTCTCTGGGAAATCAATGTCCTTTGGGATCCACCTCTAGGTCTCTCTAGGGATGCTCGCCTCCCACCCCAGGAACTGGCAGAGGGGAACAGGACGTCCGGTGAGAAGACAGCTAAGTAGTAAGCGGGAATGACTCACCCACTGGGGAGGGGAAGGGCCTCCAGCTGAAACCCTGCTGAGTCAGCACAGTGACCTAAAGGTTACAGGCCCCCTCCTCCCAGCGCAGCCACTTTCCCAGATGTCAGCTCCCAGGGCTGG